ACTATAAATCAGGGCTGGGAAGGGACAGCTGGTTTGGGGACATAATAGGAGGCCTAGTTGGCTTAGCACAAAATTAGAACTGATTAGTAGCTAAGGGGAAATTTATTCATACAAGACAACATAAATTTTGTATATATGATGGTCAGCTTCTGAAAAGGGCCTCTAGGAGATAGTTGAGTAATTTATGGGACTCTTTTATTTCTCCCGTGGTTTTCCACCTTTATTATTGTATCTCACTTATATATCATTGGTGTGTTTTTTTTGTAAAACAATTATTAGCAGTGCTATTTGATCATTTTATCTTTTAAATTTTCATCACTGTAGACATCAAGGCAGTATCTACGCTCATAAAAAATAGGTGATGTTGCATCTTATCAGAAACCTACCCAGCCATTTAAATCATTCTGTTTTTGATCATTTTCCTGTACAGATCCGGGTTCCGTTGCATTTGTCAAATGCCCTTGGATTATGGAATAATCCTTTATGTCTTTGCCAAGGCACCTTCTGATTGGTTTAATAAAAAAGGCGGAACTCTGTGAGTTTAAGGCCAGCCTGGTCTACAGAGTGAGTTCCCAGACAGCCAAGGCTACACAGAGAAACTCCGTCTTGAAAAAAAAAAAGCTGACTGGCAGGAGGTATAGGCGGGACAGTCAGACGGGACCCTGGGAGGAAAAAGGGTGGCGTCTCTGGAGTCAGAAGAGACACCCTGAGAGGCAGGATGAGAAGTGGGTACATGAGGTAAATGAACCTCAGGGCAGCACATAGATTGATAGAAATGGGTTAGGTTGTGAGAGCCTATGAGGCACAGAGAAACGTCACCGACACCTTTGGACTCCTGTGTAGGCCTCTGCCATGCTCCAGTTTTCTTTTGTTACCTTTAGTCACTGGGCTTTTGTCGAAGTCATAACCTGATCCTTCTCTGCAGGTACCCTCATGGAGCAGTCTTGGGGGATGGCAGCTGCTGACCCTTCTGCTTCCTGGGGTGAGTCAACAACCTGCACCCTCAACTGTGCTGTCTGCCGTGTGATACCCTCTTCCTTCAGTGATCTGTCAGAGCCGGTGACCCAGGAGTTCTTTTGAACAGGAGCTTGTAGAGCAGCTCCCACTCTACAGAGTTAGAATAAGGAGGGGTCAGAAAACTGTAGGGGTAAAGGTGATGACGACATCTCTAGGACAGGTAACATGAGAATTAGCGTCTAGACGCTCGGGGCTCAGACCCAGAAAAGCTATGATCTTACTTCTCAGAGATGGTGCCTCCCTCCCAGCATGGGTCAGTGAGGAGTCCCATTTCCCTCCTCTGTGGGGTGAAGAAGTAGCTTTCTTCCTTACCTGGAGGGTAGGAGCAGGGGCAGGGCCTCGCCTTCCTCATGTCCGTAGCATCCATGAACTTGTAGCAGGAAGGGGTGCCTCCGTGACTTCTTTTGTCTTTCCTAGCTCTGTGGTCTCAGGAGCCAGCACGGTACATAGAGGGGAGCCCCGTGGAGGAGGGAAGAAGGGCAGCTGGGCTCCCAGCAGCCCAAGTCCAGGTGAGACGGAACTTCTGCTTTTTCTTGAAAGGTCACTGTGTTCCCAAAGGGTGAGGGTCCAGTTTTCCTTGGCCACCCGAGGCCCTTTGGCTCCTTAATTTCCAGCAGCAAGAGCCTAGATCGAGGAGGCCACCAGTTAGCAATTCCTGAATGCAGGTAGGGGATCCAGTCAGTTCTCCATGATACCCAGAGCCTTGCTGTCACTCTGCCTGTCTGTTGAGCCGAGGCACAGCTGTGTCATCACTTGTTTCGGGAGAGATGACGATACCCATTTTGGCCGGCAGCCCCTGCCCCCTTCCCCCCATTCTTAACTCCTGTGTTCAGAACCAGGCTCAGGCTGATGCCGTGTAGTGTACTCCGTGCTTGCTGTGAGAACAAGAACAGATGGGAGCCTTTACCCTGAGGACCTAACAGGCCACTTTCCAACGTGGTTCACTCAGGTAATGACACTTCACAGCTCCCATGGGGCCACACACGCTCTGTAGGTCAGAAGGAGCCCGAGACATGGAGGGAATCCCCAAGTCGTATTGCAGCCCAGTCCACTGATGCCTTGGGCGATGAGACTAGAGAGTGTGTGTAGACGTCAGTAGGGGTACGGAATTGGCGGAGGTGGAATACACCAAGAGGCAGAAGGAAGGCACCAGATGGGTGCTTTCTGGTAAGCAGGGCTCTTGTCTGGCCTGCCCTGCTGCGCAGGTGTGTTGGAGAGCTGGGCTGTACTGGAGGACTGGTGTCTACAGGTAGACGCATTGTAGCTAGGAGAGGCTAGGAAGAACCCAGGTGGGTCTGCATGCCTGCTGCCGAGCCAGGAGCCTCAGGGTTGTTGGTGGCAGGAGGCACTGTGAGCCAGAATGTGGCTGGAAGGGTGTACACAGTGGAGAGGCTGTGAGAGGCAGGCTGCTCGCAGAGACGGTCTGAGCAGGGCCTGGAAGCTGGAGAGGAAGGGGGTAAGATCAGAGAGAGAGATGCAAGGGATTCCAGCAGGGGCTTTGGGACTATGAGAGCACCTGGGCTAGCTCCTCAGAGGCCAGGATGACAGTGTTGATGTGGTGTAGCTGGAGTTTTCCCATCTGGGGAGCTGCTTCCAAAGACCGCTTTACCTTGGTGGCTATCTGGCGTCTCCCCAGACGATGCCCTTTTTCTTTCTCCCAGTGTCCTTCGTTTGGTGGCCCATCAGCTTTTATTAGCCGATGAGAGTAAGACATAGTCACAGTGTCCAGAAGGGTTATTCCACACCATTGTGGCAATAGTGTCACTGCGTTCTCTTCTTGTCTAGGCTCTTCATCAGAAGCCCCCTCTTGCCTTTTTTTTTCTTTTAATAATTGAGATAATACCTACAAACTAGAAAGTTGACTAACGTACTTACAACGTTGTACAGTTTTTTTCATTGGTTTTCAATCCAGTCACAGAATGGCATTTCCAATCTCTAATTCTAGAGCCTGTTTATCACCCCAAGAAGAAATCTTGTGTCTGTCAGTAGTCACTCCCTGTCTCCCGACTTGCAGGCCCTGGGAACCACTCATCAGTTTTCCAACTTTATGGATTTGCCCATTCTGCATATTTAACCTAATTTAAACAGAATCCTAACATATGACTTTTTGAATCTGGCTTCCTTCATTTTGCATGTTTTAGGAGTTATTAATTTAAAAAGCTTTTTAAAAATTACATGTATTTTTGTATGTGTGTGGGTGTACTTGTGGAGGTGTGCGTGGGGGTCTGAGGACAGCTTTGAAGAGTTGATGGTCTCCTTCCGTTGTCCCCAAGATTGAATTTCGGTTTTCAGGTTGGGCACCAAGGGCCTCTACTCACTGAGCTATCTTGCCCCCATCTCCCCCCCCAAAAGATTTATTTATTAATAAAAACTGTTTTTTATTTTTGTGTTTGGTTGTATGTCTGTGCACTCTGGTCCACTAGTAGACAGTGCTCTTAACTGCTGGGCTATTTCCTCAGCCTTTTAAAAATTATTTTTAGTGCATGCATGTGAATGGTATTTGTGAGCTGCCTGATGTGGGTGCTGGGATCAGAACCTTGGTCCTCATGATAGAACAAATGTGTTTAAACGCTAAGCTGTCTTGCCAGCCTCCATGGGGTAGTTCACATTTCAGAATGCCCTAGAGTTTCTTTTTGTGATTCAGCCAGTTTTTTTTCCCCCAGTTTATTAAATCTTGATGTTTCTAAATGTTAATTTTTAGAAGTTTATTTTTCAAAACTTAAATTTGCAATTAATTCTCTTCACTCCCTGATAAGAAAGGTAGGAAAAAGTAGTTTGAATATTTAGACCTTTTATCTATAAGTTACAATAACAAAGCAAGCAAATTTGAGCTACTAAGACAGAAAATGTTGTAAAGTAACATCTCTATTTAGCGTTATGCCTTCCCTCAAGTTAAAAAGAAAATAATAAAACTTCCTACTCAGAGCTGACAGGTGAGCTGCATTGAACGTGTATTGTCACCACGTGGCAGTACCTGTGTCCCCGAGAAGCAGAAGGGCCTGGATGGAGTGATGCAGGGTGACGTGATGCTATCTGGCATCAGAACTTTGGTGGCCAAGGCTCACTGCTGTCACGGTGTGCACATCATTTTCAGATCCTGTAACAAAAATCACCATCAGTGAAGATAGGCTAGGAAGACTAGATGGGCCGGAGTCAGTGTCAGGGGAACAGAATTAGCTTAATCAAATGCTCTGAAGAAGCCTGGTTAATCCCTGTGCTGTACTCCATGGTTAACTTATGTGAGAGTTTCTGAAAATGACTAGTTATTGCTGAGAAAAATAAAACAATTAAAATAACGACACCTTGTAATGTCTGAAGAGTTGTGATTTCTGAGAACATGCTCCTGGCCCCCTTCCCAGGTCACTGCTTTGGAATTTTCTCTGTTGGGAACTTGGACTTGAATTTTGAATTGTTTTTGTGTTTTGAGATAGGATCTCACTGTGTAGTCCTGGTTAGCCTGGAACTTACTATTTAGACCAAGCTGACCTTAAACTCAAGTGATCCCCTTCTCTCTGCCTCCTAAGTGCTGGGATTAAGGCATTCATTACCACGGCCACCTATGACTTTTTTGTTTTGTTTTTCAAGACAGACTTCTCTGTGTAACTTTGGAGCCTGTCCTGAAACTTGCTCTGTAGACCAGGCTGGCCTCGAACTCACACTATGACTTCTTAATTGAGCAAGGTCTTGAGGAAAGCAAGGTCCCTGTATGGCTCTCTCCATGTTCAATAATTATTGAAATAAAGCCTTCACCTGGTGGAACCATCAAATGTTCATCTCTCAGCTGAATTCATTCTTGGAAATATGTCAGTAAAATTTCATTCAGCTGGACCCTAGATCCTGTTCTTTCAAGGAATAGGGGAAATAATCTTAGTGATAACATCCCAGTTTGCTTAAAAATAACCAGGGAGCCTGTCTAAATATGGAAATGCTGTCTGCAATGATCCACTGAGAATTTCTGCATGACAAATACACTTGGCAAACATGAGTGGTGTGTACTAATCTTTCATTGTGTGTGAAGGCTGACATTATTTTTTTTTTTTTCCTGCAAAGAGCTTATAGTAAAATGCTAGTAATAGCCAGGGATGGTAGTGCATGCCTGTAGTCCCAGCACTTTGGAGGCCAAAGCAGGAGAACTATGAGTTTGAAGCCCTGTTGGTGTTTGTTTTTAAAGGTGGGAGCTGGAGAGTTGGCACTATTGCTCTTCAGAGCTACTGAGTTTGGTTCCCAACATCCATGATAGGTGGTTCGCAGCTACATGTGACTCCTGCCCTAGGTGTGGTCGGTGCCGGCGCACTGTGGCAAACATTCACACAGACACACATAATGTAAATAAAAACAAACAGTGGTCCCTACCAGCAACAGCAAACAAGGCCGGCTGGTGGGATGGCTCAGCAGGTGGAGGGCTTGTCACCCAGTCATCCTTGGTGGCTGGAG